GCTCGTTTGGTAGCCCGCGCCCTGCAATGCAGCAAGCAGCGCCTCGGCCGCATCGAGCCGGCCGTCTCTCAATGCCAGTGCGGCGTCGAGGGCCGTCTGCTGCACGTACTGCAGCAGCGCGTTTGCGATCTTGGTGTCCACGTCCAGCGGCGTGGTTCTGAGAGCCACGGCAGCCGTGAGGTCGCTGGTGCTCGCGTAGGGGAGCAGTGCCGTGGCGATCAGCTGCGAGACGTCGGCCGCTGTTTGCCGGGCGGCGACGTCGAGAGCCAGCTGGTCCATGACCGATTTGAGAGCGTAGGTTGCGGCCACGGTGGCCAGGGTCGCGTTGTTGGCGCTGGTGACGGCGCTGTTCATCGCAGCCGTGGTAAGGTGGTTGGCTAATTTGAGGTCCACGGAAGCGGGCGTGCTCTTAGAATCGACCTCGACCTGGAGAGCATCCAGGGCCGACTGGTTTGCCTTGGTGGCCAGGCCCTGGGTCAGGCTGGTGTTCACGGCCACGAGGCCCGAAGCGTTGGCGAGGATGGAACCCTCTGTTTGCGGCGAGGTCCGCCGCCAAAGCGTAAGGAGTTAGATCGGGAGCTGGGGGCAGGTCAATGACCGGCGGCTCCGTGACGCCGTCGTCGAGGATCCTCCCGGTCAGGGTGGAGGGAAAGAGTGACATTTATCTAGTGCCCCGGGCTCTGCGCCGGCGGTCCAGGCTAGCGGTGCTCGAAGAGGGCAAAAAAGGTGAAACAAATCGCTCAAAACGCCCATATCACTAATCACTAATCGAGGACTGAGACGCCGCTGCCGCTCAGAGTACAAATTTGCATCGATACGAGCCCTACGAAGCACTGATCCACGCGGTCCGCGACCTGGACATGCTTTTGGCTATATTTTATCGTCAGGCTCCGAAGAAAAATCGTCGGGGCTGGCAAAATATCGTCGGGACATCAAAGCAACCCAAAATATAGTCGGGAATGCATTTCTGGCCAAAATATCGTCGGGACTCCGGAAATATCGTCGGGACTTCGGAAATATCGTCGGGACTTCGGAAATATCGTCGGGACTCCGGAAATATAGTCGGGAATCCAGAAATATCGTCGGGATCCTGGAAAATATCGTCGGGATCCTCGGGACGTGCAAAATATATGATCGCGACCTTGACAAACCTAGTCCGAGCCCCGGAAAACTCGTCGCCCCACCGAGAGCCAAGCAAGCCCCACCGAGAGCCGTCGGAAGCCCCACCGAGAGCCAAGCAAGCCCCACCAAAAGCCGTATAGTAGGAAGCCCCACCGAGAGCCGTAGGAAACCCCACCGAGAGCCGTAGCCCACCGAGAGCCAAGCGAGAGCCGTAGGAAGCCCCACCGAGAGCCGTAGGAAACCCCACCGAGAGCCGTAGGAAGCCCCACCGAGAGCCGTAGGAAGCCCCACCGAGAGCCAAGCAACGAGAGCCGTAGGAAGCCCCACCGAGAGCCGTAGGAAACCCCACGGTACCGAGAGCCGTAGGAAGCCCCACCGAGAGCCGTAGGAAGCCCCACCGAGAGCAAAGCAAGCCCCGCCGAGAGCCGTAGGAAGCTCACCGAGAGCCGTTGGTTGGCCGTCTGTGCACCTTGCTTGTTTCACCCTTGTTTCGCCATGGTTGGTCGGTTGGTCGGTTGGTCGATTTGCTTGTTGTAGCATGGTTGCTCGCTTGACTTGGTTGGTTGGCTGGCCGTTTGTGCACCTTGCTTGTTTCACCCTTGTGTCACCATGGTTGCTTGCTTGGCTTGGTCGGTTGGTCGAATTGCTTGTTTTAGCATGGTCGCTCGCTTGACTTGGCTGGTGGACCGGTTGGGCACCTTGCTTGTTTCTCCTTGGTTGTTTGCTTGGATTGCATGCTTCTGTCACTTGGGTACCTTGGTCGTTTGACCCTTCAGCATGGTTGCTTGCTGCAGCGATTTCAATCACTCAGGGGATCCCTGAATAGATTGACCTGCCGCCATGCGAAGAGGATTTCTGCTCGGTCCGAGTGCCGGCGGATCTGCAGGCGGTCGATCGTCCTCCGACAATGGTCCGAGTGGGGTTCGCTCGAGCTCCGACAGTGGGCCAAACGCCGAATCGTCCGCAGGCGGTCGAACATCCTCGAGGAGCCCTCGTGGGGATCGCTCGAGTGGATCGTCTCAGGTCGGCCGGCCCAGCAAACCGGAAGGCATATCAGAGGAGTTCAAGGAGCGAGCCAAGCAGCACCTACGAACCATGCAAGCACTCGGCCTGGATGTGTTCGTTTCGGATTCTGGCGAGATCTTCTCTCAAGAGGACTTGAAGCAGCTTGTTGGAATCAAGTAGGGGAAGTGATTGAATGCTTGAGGGAACGGAAAAACGCGACCGCTTGGGTGCAAGCATGCTTGTCTAAAGACTGATTTCGTGCTTGCTTGCCCGAAGGCACTCATCCCGTTCGAATGCTCAAAGCTGCATTGTCGTAATCGATCTAGAGTCTAGAGTCTGCCTCGGCAGCCTAGATCAAAGAACGCTTTCCTCAAAAACATACTTCATCCGATAACTAAACCCTTAAAGACCTTGTGACGCCCTACAACCCAAAACCTTTAATTCTTCCAAGCCACAGCCATTGTTGCCATCGAGAACTTCGGCCCTAAGATCCTTTTCCAGGACTGCATTCCGATTCTCGCAATATGATTCTTGAATCTCTTGCTGTCTCGCAGGACCTTTGGATGATTGGTGATTGGATTTGGATGATTGGTGGCTGGACTCCTGAGGACTGCATTCCGGTTCACGTTCGTTTGGAAAAGTTTGCTGCCTCGCACGACCTTTGGCCATGCATGATTGCGCAGCTGTCTCAGCTTGATGACTGCATGTGATGCCCACGGCGACAACGTGCATCGGCAATGCATAGATTATAATTTAGGATCGATGCCTTTCGAGCCGCTGCCCTTCATGGTTCGGGCCTACCCGGCACCAACGACCCCGCTCCCTCCTGAGCTAGCTGGTGGCTCTCTCTCTTTCTCTTTGTCTCTCTCTCTCTCTCTATCTCTCTCTTGGTTTCTCTCTCTCGAGGCCCTGGCCAGACAGCTCTACTGCGTTGGCGTTGCCGACGCGGCATCAGCTGCAGTATGGCGGCACCACGCATAACAATCCGGCCATGCATCTCGGCTTTATTCAGGGTTCATAGGGTTTATACAAGGCTTAAGCATGCATATGCTCTTATTCAGGTTATGCAATCCGCGCTGGCTGAATCCATCGGTCACGCCGAGCTTGTGACTCGGCTTAATTGGCAATTGGAACATCAGTAGCCTCATGCCCTTATAAGGTAAAGTAAAGGGAAACCCAGCATGAATCATCCTAAATCCATGTTCCAACTGTCTGGGGTTCACTATAAGGCAGCGCGACCGCTCTCCATGGCGCATGGGCACGCAGACGTTGCCGACGCGCGCCAGCAAGTTTAGGGTTTAGGCTTTAGGGTTTAGGGTTTAGGTCTTAGGAATGGGCTTCAGGTTTATAGGGTGTGTTAGGGCAGGTTTCGGGTTTTGGCACGCCCAGGCAGCCGCTGGAGCGCTCGCCATTTTGCTTGGGCATGCAGATGCCGGCGTCGTGCCCCAGCAAGTTTAGGGTTTAGGCTTTAGGGTTTAGGGTTTAGGTCTTAGGAATGGGCTTCAGGTTTATAGGGTGTGTTAGGGCAGGTTTCGGGTTTGCAGCTTCTGGCTCTTGCACAGACATCTAGCTTCCTAGCAAAACAATTTGGAGTGCAGGTCCTGTGGGCCACCCCTGCAGCTTCTGGCTCTTGCACAGACATCTAGCTTCTTAGCAAAACAATTTGGGGTGCAGGTCCTGTGGGCCACGAGACCTTGGAGTTGTCTTGTTGTCAATTGTACTTCTGGCTGGAGACGTGGTCAAGATGTCCTCAGCCTTGCGAAAACCTGTTGCGGGCCGTGGCCCGTTTCTCTGCTTGGGGACACAACGGACAGCCATCCAGTGTGACCTCGCCCAGGTGCCAATGTCGGTGCCAGGGGTCACTGGAATGGCACAGCTTCCGGTTGCTCCCGCTCGCTCTTCCTGCAACATCCGGGAAACAAATTTTTAAAACTGTCTCATTCATCACACACCGGCTTGGACGGAACTGTTGAACCATCGCTGTGCTTGAGTGACATATGTTTTCATTCATCACACACCGGCTTGGACAGAGCTGTGAAAATCTCTGTGTTTGAGTGTTTGGCGGTGTAGTCACCACAAATAATTCATTTTTTCATGGTTTTATCAATAATTTTCAGTGTCTGCAAATCTCCAGTTACATGAATTCTGGACAAACCTAGCGTGCTGTACAGTATCTTATAGGTCTTTCTTCAAGTTGACTTCTGATTTTGATAACTTCTGTGTTTTCCAAGCCCCAGGATCCAACCCCCAAGGACCCAACCCTCAAAACGAGTGTGTTGAATACTGTTGATTTTCCCATGGCCTCAATATTCTGAGTCGAGAGCATGTGGATTGCGCAATCATTTGGTTATACATTTTGAATATATTGACCCCATAGGTGGGGCATCATTGTGCGGTTTTGAAATTTCTCTAGACACAAACTCAGCCCCAAGACCTAGGCAGCCCAACAGCGAGGCCCGAACCATATATGCCCTGCAGCATGTAGCGTCGCATATTTTCCTGTGACATTGTTTGTTACAACCTTCGGCATTCTTTCGAATGCTACAGTTTAAACCTGAGAGTACGTTTGGAACTGTTCGTCTTATCACTTACCCTTTTTTGTACCGCAACCGAAATCCCGAACGATAAATCTCAAACCCCGGACGTCAAAACGCATCTCCCGGTTGTTTTGGCCAAAACCAGCCGCATCACACATGATAGCAGCCTGCGGAGAATGAAACGAGCAGGAGTCCCTTGCCTTTTCCGCGTCTGCAAACATTCGCAAATGGTCTTGAAACTTGAACCTTAAAACCCTAAAGGTCCTAAACCCTGAGCCCAAAACCCCCGCACCCCTAAACAGTTTGTTTCGTTTGGGGTTAGGTTTAGTTTTTGCCATGGCGGGCGCCCTCAGAGCAGGTGTTGTGGCGTCAATTTTTGCTGCCGTGTTAGGTGCATGCGCGTATTATGGGCGCTTTGGCTTGCATCTGCAACAAGCCTACTTAGAAGCCCAGCGGCCAACAGCGCCAACACCGGACCCTGCTACAACGACTTTCACGCCGGACCCGTGGTGTCCTCAATGCAGAGGTGCACTGTGTCAGCACAAGTTCTTATTTGTCATTGCGACAGGGCGCAGTGGATCCACAACACTTATGGACATGGTGAATTTGATTGACGGTTTCTTTATATACGGGGAGAATTGGCACATGCTCCGCGACCTGGGCATATCACTGGCAGATTTTCTGGCAAGGACAGCTTTTAGAGCACAAGTTGGACCCGCCTTGACCGAACGACTGCTCATGAATTTCCAAGGGTTGCTTTGGGAATTCCTGGCGCCTCCTCGATTTGAGGGGAGGTGGAAACAGGCTTCTGTCCGAGGTTTTAAGGAGATACGCTGGGACAACTCGTCCATCATGTTTCTGAAGCACGCTTGTCCTTGCAGCAGAATCATTTTCAATTATCGTCTTGATCTTGAAGCTCAGAGCAAGTCTGGCTTTTGGATTCGGACAAACATGTCGGTAGACGGGCTTCTTGACTGGAACGCGAGGTACCGGCAACTTGCTGCCGAGAGCGGGTTTCCTTTCTATGAGATGAACCTCGAAAACTATTCGGTTCAATCCTTCAACAAGCTTTCTCGCTGGCTTGGGGCTGCATGTGAGTTTGATCAGCTGATACACTCCACTGCTCATCGAGTCAGTGGACCACTTGTCGTGCCCAAGTGCGCGTCTCTGCTTGGCGAACGACAGCCATGGTGCACAAACTGCGACGATGATGCACTCTGCACCCACAAGTTTCTGTTCACAGAGCTTGACCCAAACAACTCGCAGTTTCAGCATCTGACAACCAGTTCCCGCATCTTCTTCAGCAGTGGATCCAGCGAAATGTTGGCACATAATTTTCTGCTCGCAGTGCGGTACATGCAAAAACCCGGCCGGAGTCCCCCTGAGCCAACATCCGCAAGCGATATCGCCCAGATGACTGCATGGGCACATCCTCCTCAAGCCGTCCGACGCAAAAGCCTTCTCCAAGCACATCAGCTGATTTGGGATTGGTTGCAACCGCCTTGGCCTGAGCATTCGAACGTACGCGCTTACAACCTGCAGTCGCTGAACACCACAAATATTGAGTGGATGCTGAACCTGTGCCCGTGTTCCCGTTTTGCACTTAATGTACATGGGGAATTTCAGAAGACGGAGAGACAGATGCTGATCAAGATGCTACGCAGTTCTGGCTTACAGTACACCGATCTTGCTGACGGTGAACTGACGGACTGGCTTCAACAAGAGCGAGCACTATAAGCCCTGAGCCCGAATGCCCTAAACCGAACTTTGATCCATCAAGATATGGAGCTGCCATGGCAAGAGGAAGACATTCTGGCTTTAGGGTTTAGGTATAGGATTTAGGGTTTAAGGCTTAGGGTTCAGGTTTGAAGGTTTAAGGTTCGTTGGGTTTGGGACATAAAGTTTACAGCTTAGGGTTTAAGGTTTAGGCCAAAATCTTCCTATTCCTTACAGCCCATAAATGCTGAGGCGCATGCATCCATGCAAGATGGATTGACAGGTCACACAGGGAGGCTTCAATCGTTGGTCTACCTGTTGTTTAGAGTATGAAGTTTAAGGGCCTAGGTTCACGTTTAGAGACTTAGAATCCGAAGCCATGGAAAGTCTTAAACCCCTGTGACGCGTATGGCTTTTACATGTTAGGTTTGTGTTGTCAAGCTTTGCTTTATTGGAATGCCGGGCACTAAATGCCAAACCCTGTACTCTGCAGTAAATTCCAAAACCAAAACCCTAAAGGCTAAGTCTGCTGATGCACAGCAGGAAGGTCATGAAAAGGCACCCCAACATCGGGAGTGGGGTCACTTGTTTCAGTTGCCATGCCTATTAAAACCACACGCAACTTACTGCTCTACGACTTGAGTCGGACTTTTTGCCCTTGAGCTAACGTCTACAGTAGCCGCATTCGGCTGACCCTGCACAGCTTTACAAGTCACTGGAGCCGACTGCCATCTGCAAGTGATCGCAACACTGCGTATCGTTGTGACTGCCTAGTGGCAGCAAGAGGTGTGCCAGTGGTCCCCATGGTCATAGTGCAGTCGTAGAGGTAGTAGCAGCGCCAGCATTTCAGCATTTCTGGTAGCCTGGGATAGTGAATAGTTTGTTCGGTCATGGCATGGTCTCAAAAAGTTGCCCGTTTTGAGAACTTCCTTTCGAGCTGAAAGTCCCTTGTAGAAGGAAGCAGGTGATGCTGGCATGGAACACATGGTTCCGCGAACATGCCCAAACAGAAAGAGCTCTCATGGCCAGCTGTGTTTCATTGTCTAAAAAACCGCAGAGTTCTCGTACAGTATAGGCTACAAGGAAATGTCAGAGTGTATGCCAAAAGACATTCTCGCACAATCGGAGCCATGGCTTTCTCGTGAGCAAAGCGAAGAAGAAGCGGACTTTGCCCACATGCGGGGCTTCAGGGGCAAGGAAATTGACATTGCAGTTAAATTTTTTTTACGTGTAGCCATTGCAACTCCGAATGTGTTATCTGTCACCCTATTTCTGGAGGTCGTAGCCTAGAATGATAGAAGCTCTTCTTCCCGAGACCGTTTACCATGTTTACCTGACATGTCTAAACCCTCAACCTTGCCGCTCCGGTGCAGCGTAGAAGTTCTTCCATGAATCGTGGATCCCCGATCCTGTCAACCGCGTTCTGGTGCGGGGTGGAGGCCCATGTGGCTCAGTGTGGCGCAAATTACTTGCAGCGAGCACTTCATGTTGAGCACTTCGGACGATGTTTTTGTTTTCGGAATTCTGAGCACAGGGGTTTTGGATCATGCTTGTGCCCGCCGCTGATGTGGGCGCCTGTCGGTGCGAGTCTGAAGTTCGTGCGTGTGTGTGTGTGTGTGCGTTTAGGGCTTAGGATTTAACGATAGCCCTTAGTCGGTGGTCCCAGGTGAGAGTGAGGAGCAGGCTGGAATGGCAGCCGTGCTCTGCTCGGTCTCAGGCGCGAGTTGGTGTGGAATGTAGCCAGGTTGAATTGAGCTTGGGTGGGGTTGCTTCGGGTCCGCATAGTAGCATAGGACGGTTTGAAGTGAGAGCCCTTGGCTTACGTGTTGCATTTCTACATTGTGGCGCTGGGCAGGCTGTCTCTGCATCTTGCTGTTTCGATTGTCCGGGGGTGGCAATTGTTCACTTGCAGAGCCTGCAAAGGCCATGCCGTGATCGGCTGCTGGACGAATCATGCCGACGCTTGAGGTGGACACACTTGAAGCAACCACCTCAGGATCTCGAGTCTCAACTTTACACGACAGTTCAGGGGCGAGATCGATCCTTTTAGCTGCATGAAAGTTCCTTTGTCGCAGGGGAAGGAGGGGCGCTCCTCCTTCCCTGCAAGTAATGGGCCAGAACCCATTGTTACACAGCCAGCATCCGCTGGTAAACCGCGTACCTACCCTGGCCCATCTTGGGAGGACGCGCGGGACTTTTCAGTAGACCCCCAGTACCACGCAACCAGGGGGTGCATACAGCAAGTACACTTTCCGTTTGAAGCTAGTGGATTTGGTTTCAATATTAGGCTTGCTCACAGCTTCAGATCTCTGGCCAAATTCCTTCCAAGAATTGGTCGGGTGAGGGTTAATTGTATGCGACGGCCAAATCGTGTGCTACCCCGTCGCAGAAAACCCGTTTTGTGAGAACAACGTGCATGGTGCTCGTCCCACGAACCAGCACTTGCTGTCCGTAGGTGTAGATGAAAGCTATCGTCAGAACGCTGCAACTTTTGCGCGAAGCTTGTCTTGCCTGTGATCGCATTAAGTGCTTTTTTCGTGCGGTTTTCGACACCTGCCCTGCCGAGAAATTCGTAGCGAGGGGACGGAGTCAACATGTTGTGTCGGACGTACCACCCACAGCTCGCTGCGGTCGACACGCTGCACCGAAGCATCGACCCACACGACTGCAGCGAGTTCTAATGCTTGTCACAAGTTAAAGAGAAGAGGACCTGAAGGCGAATGCGAAGATTATTCTTGAGTGGCGTTTCTCAAGCCACTCAGGAACTAAGTCCGTCTTCCCCCAAGAGGCGATCTTCCATTCAAAGAAGGCTTCTCGGTGCAGTCTACTGGCAGCCCCGCATTGCCGAATTGCAGCCGGTGCAGTGAATCCAGCATACCCAAGTGAGATGTCTTGATGCAGGCAGTCGATGCAGTTAGAGCATCGCTCTGAGAGCTGCAAACCCGTCCATGTTGCCGGAATTGGTCTCACCTCGCCATTGGTCAGCAGGTGCTTTTCAGGCCGAAGCCTCCAAAGTCAAACAGGCCTGACATGGTTTCGCGGTGGCACACAGTCGGGCTTGAAGAATTATCCGCAACAGCGAATGTTAATTTTGTCAGGAGCCTTGTGTTGCTTGCTTCTTCGTGTTGCATTTGGTCGAAACCTTGCATGCGAGCCCATGGCGAGTCATTCGGCCGTCACAGTGCGTGAGCCCAAAGTAGTAGTCTTGTGTCTTGTTTCGAACCTTTGGGAAGACCTGCAGCACACTGACCTTAAACTCAGGTCATCCAAAGAAGGTCCCGAGGCTTCCGGTCTTAAAGTGCGCTGCACGTATTGTGGCGCAAGTCGCAGCATGGGAGACCATTGCACGCCGATCATCCGGTGCAGCTATCCCAGCATCGTGCATTCAGGTTCTTGTGTTGACCTTGTGTGGAGCAGTGGCCCCTGGGACAGCCAAGGCTGTCAGACCTTGAAATCAAGTCGGGGCATGCTGCCCAGATGTGCAAACGCAGCAAGTGCTATACCAGGCTATGTCTGTACAATCCATTGCCATTTCGAGGCGGCGGCGAATGTCACTCAGCACCTGGAGTCCGAGCCTTATACTTGACGGCCATTCTTCCCATGTGTTCGGGCCCAGCTCTCACAACAACTTCGCTAGGCCCGAATGCCTCTCAAGAAACCGATGGGCTCGGCACTTGATGGAACAGGGTGAGGGGCCTGTACATGGAAGTCATAAGGGTTTTCAGGTCGGGCAGTCCAAGTTCACACAGCCCAGTGATGCAGCGGAAGTCCATGAAGCGAAGGCGGGGTGAAGTGCTCGCAACCGTGGCGGAGCGATTATTGTTGGGACTACGGCTGGCGTGGCTGTGGTTGGGACGACAATCTGTTTCATTGTGAGCCTCGTGTGCTTCTGAGTTGTGCTCTGTTGTGCTAGCTCTAGTGTACTGCATATACTGCAATTCGATCTTCAATACAGACATTCAAGCCAGCAAGATTCCGGGACATTGGAAGGAGTATGGATGCCACGCGATTTTCAGTCTCTGCCAGTGTTGCCGGCAGCAGCTTGGACGGCCAGCGTAGCCAAGCAGATAGCCAGACGCTGCTTGCCGCCGTAGGCAACTTTACGGCGAGTCCTGAACGGACATGCTATCAAGATACAGGTGTATTTGGGCAGCATGACACTAGGAGTTGATTCCTGCCCCAAGCACCCATCAGTTGTCAGCAAAGCTTGCCACAAAAAAGGCCGTTCATGGGATGCCGACATCCCAATTCGTGTCCAAACTGCACGAAGCTTTTCCTGGTGTTGTTGAGTTGGACCACCAACAAAGAGGCGGATGCAGCGTGGAGTGCGCCTCATTTGACATGGTGCGGCAGACGGTACAAATGCAAGATCTGCATCCCAATGTGCGCGTGCCGGACGTGCTCATGTTGGACTTAGCCGAAACGGATGGTGTAACAGTGTAACCTTGAGCTTTTCATTTGAGTGTACCGGCTTGATTTGCCATCGATGTTGATCGTGATTCTATCGAGCAGAAACAGAAATGTCGCAGATGGACCTTGGAGAAGTGTGCAGCGGGAAACGTTGGCAGACCACTATATACTCAGTTCCTATGCTGAACTACCACGTGCCAGTGACCTATGCGAACCGTACTGGTGCGGTGGAGAATGCATCGGCAATGGATCGCCCATGCTTCATCCCTCCTGAGAGGCACATGAATATTATGCTGACATGGTGTCATATTGACTTAACGACCACTTGAAACAATCGATTCACTACTCCTCGCAGCCAATTTTTCCACCCCGTAAGAAATCGCACGGATTATGGGCAAATGCGCCATTGAACATAAAGTATCTGGATCAAACAAACTTTTGTGTCAGACCCTAGTCACAGCATGTTGCTGCTTATCAGGTGGCGCCTGGCACACCTCAACACAGCCCAAACCAGCACTGGGCTGTTGGGTAGGACGCTCCTGGAAAGTGCGGCTGGATTACAACTGTTCCTGGAGGCGAAGGATTGCACTTCAACTTCACGTTCGGCAAGTTTGACGGTGCCGTCAATGCCACCTTATTGTCCGTGCAGTTTTGACAACTTATGAACATATTGGCACAGCACCCATGGACATTGACAGTGCCTGCTTGCGGCGCCGTGTGAGTCCTCCTACGAGTAGCAGCGAGATGGCCAATTCCCTCAACATATCAGACCGGATACAGGAGCATGTATCTGTTGCAACAACATGGACCTTTGTCCCCGTTTCCGTTGCAGCGGAGCTAGACCATGCATCAGTTTCTTTTCTGCTGCTCGATGGGCCAAAGTTCAAGTTGATTTCACTCATTGCATGCTGACAGCAGCGGCTGGCACGTCGAAGCATTGAGGCCGACTGCTGAGCAAAACCGATGCCGAGACGCGGCATGATCTGTGCATGTACTCTATGGTGCTGTGACGCTGAATCTCTTGTTCGTGTTTTGAGTTCACCCAACAGTTGTGTGTGTGTGTGTGACACCGATTTGTCGATAGTTTGCCTGCGACGGTCTCCTGCACAGCTTAGCTGTTTTGCTATTGCATATTTGGCCTACACCTGGCCAGCAATGAGCGGCGTACTCTTTTATAAAACTAACCAGCAGGATTAGGAGCAGGTGCGGTGGCAGTAGCAGTATTTCTCTCCACGCGTCTGGGGACGAGGGCATGTTGAGCGCATCCGTCTGCAAACGCAACCAGAAAGCAAGTTAAAGCCACCTTTGTGGCTCCGATTCCGTTGCGCCGTTGCCCTCGAAACCCTACATGATGGCCAAAATGCAAAAGTCCGCGAGTTCAGCTTTGCTCGTGCATGTCAACTTTGGGATATCACTTTGCATTTGGTTGGTGTGCACAGCCCACTGAACAAAACTGACGCAACGAATTTTAGCAGCGTTGCCTTGTTGCAAGTCCTTCTTGCAATGGGATCTCGCAGGGCCACGGGAAGGGCCTGGGTGCAGCATCAAACAAAGCAAGACACCGTAAGGTTCGCGAGGCACAGTTACAGGCAACAGCACGCGAGATGGCCAGAAATGTTTCAGCACCCAGTCTTTGATTCCAGGCCAGGCCCACTGCATGATCCCAGAACCTGGATGTGACCTGAAATACTTACACGTGTGAGCAGATGGGCCCCTGAAGTCGCATCCGTTGCTTGTGAGTTGTGAGTTGTGGAGCTTCAGGCATTTAGTCTATGCGTGGTTGAGCCATGACGACTCGGCGTTGCGCTATGTGTATGGCCGCAGCTGCCCTCACGCTGATTCTGAACCTTGCGTTGTGGTCGTCGTTGCTCACGGAAGCAGAAATTGAAATAGTGACCCACCCTGCGCATAGTGTTCTTCGAAACACTTGTCTGCCCAGAGCAGGCTTTGGCACCGCTGTTTTATATATGGGGCCAGATGTGAACGATTCATCAAACAGACAGATTTATGACGAGGCAAAGAAGATAACATTAAAGGTTCTATACAGGTCGCTCAACGAGGCGTTCACTGTTGAAAAGCTGTCGTCGGGCAGGTTTTCATATCCGAAGCCCAGCGGTTTCGGTGATTGGCAAGTACGCATATCCTGGACAAATCGTGCTTTGAAGCGCAGTGGCTGGTACCTTCCGCCAACCGATGCTTTGGAGGTTTGTTCTCTGAATATATCAGGCGAAGTCGTATTCTTCCGAGGCTTTGCCTTCGGAAGTTTTCAATATGGTCATGTTCTCCACGATTTGCTTCCGGTGCTGGTGTGGATGAGCGCATCATACCCCAGTGCACAGGTTGTGTTGGAGTTGGATAAGCAAGGGAAAATTGAGCCGTTTTTAGCGTGGTTCGATCCAAGCCTACACCGAAGAGCAATATTCGTGCAACCTGACGTTGTTGTCTGCGCGGGAGTGCTGTTGGCGGTGGTACCTCAGCGTGGTATCCAGACCCCACATGGGCTTCGCATTCCAGCTTTGTTCAACCACTTGCGGTCGCATGTTTTGTACGTGCAGCCTTCTCACAACCCAGTTGCAGCCGTGCATGAAGTGCGGATACCGGCGACAGCAGGTCACGGGCGTTTGCTCACTCAAGATCACTCGCGGCAGGTCCTTCAGATTGCCTCTAGTGCTATTCAACAGCACAGCATGCCCCTGGAGATCGTTGAGTTCAACGGTACTTCAAATGGTAAAGCTGCGACTTTCCATGATCAGTACCGCCTCTTTAACTCGGCCGTTCTGGTTTTCGGCCCTCATGGGACTGGCTTTTCAAACATACTGTGGATGCCCTGTCACGTGCCAGTGGCAGCCATTGAGTTTGTTTGCGGTGCCCACTCTCTACATGTTCGCGGATGTCAGTTGAACAATGGCAAAGTTCGCTTAGCAACTTACTGGAGTTTGGAAGGCAGTGTTTCGTGGGTAAAGTACTTTCATGTCTTGGCGCGAGACGCCTCCACAGAGATGAGTGACTTCATGCAGGTTGACCTGGAAGGTTTTTCAGCAGCTTTGGATGCAGCTTTACGTTACATAGCACGTCCGACGGGCTGAATGACAGCCTATGCCCGTCGATGATTCAAAGGGTCAAGATGCTTGTACTTCCGGAGACTGCCAGGCTGGGCAGAATGCAGTTGATTAGTGAAAAGGCAGGACTGCAGGTAGGAACAGCACGCTGTTTGGTAGTCTGACGTGTTGGTTGGTCTCAGCTCTGCGCATGTTTTGATGCTCCGACAAGTTGTGGGATGGCCTGCCCAAATCATGCGATTCAATACCGGTGTCATGCATCAACAGGGTTAAGTTGACGTTGACGTGAGGATTCTTGTGGCGTGCGTGGTTTACGCTGGCCGCTAGCTGGCCTCGAACCCGCCGGGGAAGAACAAACGTCTGCCCCAAGTCGCACAAACTGCATTCGCAACACCTTGTTGGCTTCGCTTCGGTAGCAACCTCAAGCTAAGAACGTGAACACGTATTCATGTCTCAGACAATTTGCACGCAATTGAAGCCTGCACGCAATTTCCGCAATATTCCGCAATCAGCAGAACCCCAGCTTTCGGTGCCCGTTTTACCGAGCACCGAGTGCTGCAAGATGGCTCGCGTCCATGCAGAGGACTCTGAGGACTCCTCTGAATGTCTTAATGATGTTAATCTGTGATGCATAGAAGCGAGTGCCAAATGATGTTCCGTCTCAAGATCTTTGCAGCCCGGGGTTTAAAGGGTTCATGAACCTCGGCCTGCTTCGGAACATCCTGGGCTTACTTCAGGAAGGTTCCGATTCAAACTGGTGGGGCCTGGCGTGCCCTGGGCATTGCAGAGGACCTGGCCTAGGAGGCCTTTTTGCTGCTTTCCTGCTGGGGGTTCTGGTTACCTTGGTGGCCTTTGCTTCTTGGTATAACTGCAAATTGGTGGTGGCCCAGGCTCCTGCTCCGGAGCCACCAGCCAGTCGTCCTAGGGCGACGGGGGCGAACAGGAGGCTCGCGGCCTACGCGCATGGACGGTGACCTGCATTTGGAAATAAGTGGTTATAGGATTTCGGTCAGTAAAGCCCCTCCCAAAGCAGCACCCCTCCCTGCGTCTTCGGGCCAGTCTTTGGAATCTTCTGCTTCCTCTTTCGAGGTTGTGGATTTCCCAGGCTCTTCCGAGCCTTCGCCTCCCTACTCTTCCTCGGCTGTCTTGCCAGCTCCTTACCCCTTGCAGGCCTTCGGGCCCCGTGCCCCCCTGGACTTGGGTGAGGCTCCTTCTGCTGTTGGGTCGCCTTCTGCACCTTGGCTTTCTGCTTTCCTCACCTTTGCGTGTGCCAGAGTACCCCTTGCAGGGCTCCCCGGAGTCAAGGTCCCAGATCAAGGCCTCTTTTCCTTCGCTGACTGTTGAGCTCCGGGACACGTGCCGGAACCTTCGCGGCGGCTCCCTCGACTGGCGATTGAGGGCCTTGAGGGCTTGGGAAGCTGGCTGCTGGGCAAGAGCCGTCCTGGACCAGCGGGTCTCTACCCCGAATAGCCTTGGGTCCGTCGGCCTCCCCAACAGATTGTATTGCATACTCTCCGCAGAGGGTCTTGATAGACCGTGTGTGGTAAGGACTTTTGCAGCCTACAGGTCCGTTGTGGGTGAACTGCGCCCGGGTGGCTCTGTGTCGCACGGCTTCCCCTCCGAGGCTGAGGCCAGGCTCTACTTTGCAGGTGCGCAGCTTGACTTCCCAGCTGCGTGATGGAGTTCAGTGACCTCCCCTCTGTGGAGGCAGGTGGTGTCACCCTGCTAGAGTTTCAATGGCCTTTCCCGGCCGCTCCGGATGCCGACGGCGAGCCACTGACATGCATATCTTATGTGGTTATGAAGCGCCCTGCCGGGTTTATCCTCTGCCTACCTCTGGGATACTTGTCGGAGGAGGAAACGCTTGCAGGGCAATCCAACGAGGAAGCGGCAGGTATTGGGAGCTGATGGCCCCGGCTGTCCGTCTCAGCGGCCAAGGAGAGTGGCGTGTGGCCAAGTCTGGGGAGCTTGTGGCCGCTCTGATGATAGACCTGCCCGCGTCTGTTGTGGGGGCGCTCTCCGTGCCCGAGCTGACAGCCTTTGGAGGTGTTCCCTTCATGCAGGAGGATCCAGGCCTCTTCCCCCTGCCCTCAGACGTTCTACGCCAAACTCAGGAGTGGGCGGCCGAAGCGCTCGGCGACCTGAGGTCTGGCTACCAAACGGCGGTCGAGGATCCAGCGCCGCGGCGCCCGAAGGTTCCAAACCCCAAGCCCAAGCGGCACACCGTGGCCTCCCTTGCCCAAGAGCAGGCGAATCTGCAGGAGTTGGTTCGGGGGCTGGCTTCGCAGCTCTCCTCCTTGCTTCCAGCAGCAGCGGGCGACAACTCCCTGGCTCAGGGCCCCGATGTTGCGCCGCCGCCAGGTCTTGTTGCAGGTCAGGTTCCAGGCCCTTCCGCACAGGTGCAGGCGTCAGGCTTGAGCTCCTCTCGCGTCCGTGCTCCCTCCGTCACAGCATGTCCCAAAGGCCCTGTCACAGGTCATAGGCCCTCCTCCTCCAGCCAGGCAGGCTCCCAAGACTCCCTCGCCTATGGTCGATCACGAGGCAGCCCTGGCCGCTTGGTCGACGCCGAGCCCGAGGCTCCCAATCTCCGGCCCTGGTCAGCCTCGTCTCCCAGCTTGCTCAGAACTCTTCGGATCCTTTGCTGGATGCCCCCTCGGCCACTTCGGTCAGAGGAGCGGCCGGTCGACAGCGGCTGCAACAGGAGCTTCAGCCTCGCCGGGGGCTTTCTCGAGGAGGTGATGACTCGCCTTTCCTGCCGGGCCGCGAATTCAACTTTTGCCTTTGGTCTTCTTCTTTGGTCAGGCTGGTCCTGAAAAGTGGGACCGCCTTCGGCCATTTTCTGAGTACCACACTGCCCCTGTGCCGCGATCCCAATTTGGAGGTCGCTACCGCCTTGTTCCCGCTTCCGCTGCCGGCCGACGGCCTGTTCTTGAAGCGGTCCCGCAAGCGCTCCCAGAGGCGCAGGCTGCCCTACCTGGTTCGGGTTGCCCACCACGTGCTGGTGATGTCTCTGAATTTCCTCCACTCCGGGAGGAAGCACATACCGCCAGCATGCTTGCGGAGGCCTCCCTCAGAGTTGCAAGCCTCAGCTTTGCACCGTCTGATGAAGGCGTGTGCCCGCTTGGGAGGTTCCACTCTCACGTCGGGCCGTCGAGGCATCCAGCTTGCTGCCCGCCATGCAGAAGTGCTCCACTTCTTGAGGGCCGCGGGCCTGGATGAGTGGGAAAGTAGGGCGTGCAGCCTCCGTGCCTGAGTTTGGGGCCCCGCTTGTGCCTCACCTTCCTGGTGGCCCTGAGGAGCTGGCTCCCTACAGGGATTTAGATTCAGGCCGCATTGCGCTGTCGGGCACTGGCTCCTGGCCGCTCGAGGAGCACCTGGGCCCCGACCTCCTGATGCTGTACTTGGAGCCCCGGGCCCACCGCTCTCCGGCGCCTGGCCCTAGTTTCGAGCACGAGTCTAGGAGCCAGACTGTTGGGCTTTTTAGGAAGTGGGATGCCTTAGGGCTCTTAGGCATTGTGCAGGGCCCATTGCATACCACCGACCTCGTGCGCATCTTCGGGGCCTACAAAGACCCTGGAAGGGACAGACAGATCAGCGACCGCCGGAATGTGAACAACAAGGAAGCCCGGATTGTGGGAGGTCCGTCCTCCCGGCTTCCAGCCGGCAGCCTTCTCACTCGGCTTTCGTGCCCCCTTCCGTCGTGTGCCCTCTTTGGGTCCTGTGTCGACCGCCAGGATTTTTATCACCAGGCAAAGGTCAGTGAGAGCAAGGGCCGCTCGAATGCCATTGGGCCGGTCTTCTCCCTGCGACAGTTCTACGGGACTCACGCATATGCTGCTTTCTTGGCTAAGGCCGATGACGCCCTCCGTTCACACGCTGGTGCCTGCTCCGTTTTCCGGCCGGCCTCCGTTCTTGCGTCTGCTGACCTCCCGGTGCACGGCACCTTTCTGAGTTTGCTGCAAGGCGACCACGCCGGCGTGGAATTTGCCTGTGCGGGGCATGAGGGTCTTCTTCGATCTTGTGGCGTGCTCGGGGACCCTGCCCAAGGAAGGCTCCTGAATCGGTGCCCGGTCGCCTGCCGCGGCCCCTGGACTGGTCTCATCATAGATGACCTCTTCTGCATTTCCTGTGAAATGACCCGGAGAGCCCTGCTGCCACCCGCGCCTCTGAGAGCGAGCGCCTGTTGAGGGCTGCCAAGAAGGCCTACGAGCGTGAAGGAGTGCCCGGCTCCGACCACAAGGATCAATTCAGCCAGAGGGTCTTTGTCGTTGCAGGTGCCCAGGTTGACAGCTCTCCCGCGACAAATGCTGCCGGGATGTCTTTGGTTGGCCTGCCTGCTGCCCGTCGCCTTGCCCTCTCCCAGGCCTCGCTTATTATAGCCTCTGGCCGCTGGATTTCTGAGGAGCTTGCTTCGATCCTTGCTGGTTCCTGGGTCACCGCTCTCCTCTACCGTAGGGCGCTGATGGCTGCTATCAGGCCCTTGTTTGCTCTTGGCAAGAAGGAGGCCTGCCCTGATGCTTCCCGGCTCCGGCCCCTTCCTTCTGCAGCTCGCCAGGACCTCGTCATGCTTGCGGCCCTCGTGCCGGCTATGGTCTCGAATGTGTCTGCTGAGTTCTCGGCCGAGGTCTCTTGCTCGGATGCTTCCTCTTCTCGTGGGGCCGTGTGTGCCGCTGCCATCCGTCCGTCTGTTGCTGCGCACCTTTGGCAGACAGCTGACCAGAGGGGTTGGTACACCCGCCTTGGGGCGGAGGTCTCTGAAGAGCCCCCCTCCTTTGAGGACAGCCCGGGCGTGGAAAGGCCGGTTGCCTGCAGGTATGACTTTATCGAGGTCAGGTGTGGTGGGCCGTGGCTCACTGACTTCTTGAGTGCCAGCTGCTCCGTCGGTCCCGTTGTGGATTTCCGGGCCTCCCCTCACTTCTCCCTTCTCGAGCCTCGCTGCTTGGAGTGGCTCCTCTTCATGCTGCAAGACGACAGGCTGAGGTCTGTTCTGTTGGTGCCTCCTGTTGGCTCCTTCTCCCCGGCCTTCT